GTAACATTGATTACTCTCCTCACTAGCGTGAAAGAGCCAAGTATGGTCTGGCCCTAAATGAGGTTCAAATACTGTTTAAACACAAAAAGGTGATGATGTGGGAGCAGATAGGCTTTTCTACCTTGGCATTTCCCCTAGGAATACTTAAAGTCCCTGAATTCGATACGGAACCACAGCTGGGAGAAGATGGGCCTTTGTCCCACCATTTCTCTTCTACTATCATCACTACTGGTCTATTGGGGAACCGTTCTTGCTTTCAGGCATTCAGGGATGCTCTAAGAGATACTCCTCATCCATTCCTCTTTGCACTTCCTGACACAGTAGTCCAGAATAAACCAGAGAGTTTTGGTCTATTTTTTAACTGGAAAAAATGTATATCTGTTTTATAGAATAAATGCTGTAGGTAATTATGCATTAGAAAATGCAACTATTTTCTAAGTTGTTGAAATGAAGTACCAGACAGGATTTTGTTACGTTAAGTGTCTGGCATACAAGGAAAATCTAAGTAGTAGTATAGAATGAATCCGCAAATTATAGGGAGTGATATACCTGCCCAATGCAGTGCAAGCACCAAACTGAAGGAGAGTTTCTGGATGTCCAGTAGATGAGATAATGTGTTTTACATCTGGTTATAACGTATGGCATCTACAGATGCTTAAATGCTTGTTTATGTTTCTGCTGGTACTTGAGCACTTCCCAGATACAGGTAAATGAAACTCAAAAGAGATTCTTCCAGCAATTTTCAAAGTAGCCTAATGGAGCTAGATATCCAATTCCTACTGACTTTTCCAACAGGACTTGATTACGTAAGTGCTCTTTTTCCCTTTGAAAAATCTTCCTCTTAATTATGCTAACTGGTGCTAAAAAATGTTTTCAAAGTCACAGAGCTATATCTAGATAATGCTAATTCAGAACCAGACAAGATTCATAATGCTAAATTCTAGGAAGCTCCTCCTGACTACAAGGTATGTTTATTTTTCTCTTCTTCCCTGAAGGCAGAAATTAATTACTCAAGTTTGCCAGAGAATCTGCTGAGAGCTGTTACCTACAGGAACCAAAAAAGTAAAAGGCATCAGTCAGTCATTCTATCTCACAACTATTTCCATTGGCTAATGAAAGTATTTACAGCCAACGGTATGTTGTCTCTACCCCCAAATGGAAAAAAATGTAGTGCTATCAACAAAAATCTGAAAAGTATAGTTGATCTGGTAGATCTTGCAGCATTTTATATACTTTGGCTGAATTGTCATCCTATATAATTTCTTCAAAAGGTCCTGATTAGGATCATGTCTAACAGCCAAAATAGAAATGAGAAGCTGTAAACATGTCCTTATCTATCTACAAATCAGAGGAATATATTTATTGGGTTTTCACTTTTAGATATACATTTTCTGTTCCAAATCTCATGGTCCATCTCTAAAGAAAGTTACCTAATAGCTTTCCTTTATATAGTGGGCATTTTTTTAGCAATTGTTAACAATTGCTAATAATTGCTAACTGCTACTGTTGTAGCTCAGTGATAAGCCATTCATCTAACTGATTAAGATCATTTGTCTGACCCTCAGTTATGCCACAGAACTGGGCACAGAGTGCTGAACTTGTCTCAAATACTGGTGTCCTGGCCAGAAGTGCTTGTTAGCAACTGTAAAATGCTAACATTGTATTTGGCACTTTGGTACTAGAATTGTATTAGAAATATTATAGGGACTTCTACTGTTTCATACAATGTAGGCATTTATTTTTGTACCTTACCTTTACTAGCAGTAATGCATCCTTTAGGAACAACGATATTTCAGTAGGGTTGGGTGTTTTGTTCGATAACCTTGAACATAAAGTGTTCAAGGAGGAACCAGTTTACATATATCTATCAATTAAAGAATGGAGTCATCCACCTTTTCTGGATAGCATTGAAAATTGATTAGTCTGAAAGTGAGGGCCGTAATGTTTCATATAAAGTCACAATAGGTAAACTCAATTTTTTTTTTTTTTTTTTTTTTTTTTTGATAGCTGAAACTGAGGTGGAGAAGCTTGCAATCAGATGCAATATGACCACTAGGAACAATGAATGTGAAATTCATTCAGATAACAAAAGGCAGAAAAATGACAATACAGAGGCCAAGAATCAGTGGCTTTTAGAACACTCCCAGGAAAGAGATTTTCTCCTAAGAGACATTATTTCAATATTCACATATCAGTTACAGTTATTTAAAATAGCTTATTTAATTCGTTTCAGTTTTACAGTTCTTCATACGACCAGAATACTTTCAAAACCTTACATTGAACTTTATGATTGTATTTCTTTACATTAAGTTTAGATAGACTTTTTTTAACTCTATCTACTCTCTGCCAGGGATTTTCTTAGGTTTTTATTCTTTATTCTTTAATGTGTGGGATTACATTCCTTAACATGAGCATAGGAATGAAATCCTCTGTACAAAGGGACATATTATTGTTCGGGAAATGTAGTGTAATCTCAGGAAAACAGTAGTGCACAGAGAGAGGACCAGTATCGGTTCAGTTAGGCTTTTTTTTTTTAGTTTTGCTTTTTTTCCATTTTAAATAATTGGGAGGCACAAATATAAAATAGCCTCATGTGATTAATACTTTCTATCAAGATAAAATCAAGGAGATTTTCATATGCTTTCTTGTCTGTTGGCAAGGTAAACCAGCCCACTCAGTACTGCCATCTTATGACAATGCTTTCATTTATGCTTTTGATTAAATTCACTGGCCTACATAGAGTGGGTCGGCAGGGTCACAGCTAGACTTTATGCTGTCGTTACCCAGCTCTTCTGGCTTAGCTTTCTCTGTAGGAGCGCGTGCAAGGGAGTATGGAGCTGAGGATGGTAGCAGCCATGGCTCAACAAGTCTGCTGTAGGTGGTAAATTCTTTCAGACTTTTCCCCCAACTTAATTGGAAGAGCTGGGACAGATACTTTAAATCTGCCCCCTACTTTTGCAGATATTCTGTACAAGGGGCTTTCCCCTAGTTCATACTTGGATTCATCCAAAATGAAGAAATTGATGCTGACTGAAGTGGAGAGAGAATAAGCTTCAGGAGGTGATTCAGTCCGTCAGGTCTCAGCTTATGACAGGCGGACCCCCAATCAATTTTTCTAAAATAAAACTCTGCCTGCCAGGAATATTTTGTTTTGGCAGTTCTCCCCGAATATCCAGGAGAGATTCCCACTCTCCCAAGCAAACTGCTTAACAGGCAAAACTGGGCACACAGATTGATTTTTATCTTTTTTTTCCTATCTTGATTTTTGTGAAGCATTGTGTTTATGTAATCCATTCAGGTTGTTTATTTTCCTTTTCCAAAAGAGGAACTGAATACTTTTTCCTGGTTTGTTGCTTTGGGGGTTTTTTGTTGGTTTGTTGTTGTTTTTTAAGTATCTGTGAGGCAGTAGCTAATTCTACTTTCTCTAGCACACATAGACTCATTTAGCAAAATGAAAGGCAAGATTAAATGAACAATTTAGAAAATACTTACTGAAGCATCTTTTGAAAATTAATTCTGGTTTGTAAGTTATGTTTAGTTGTTCGAATCTTTTCTACTGTAAAAAGAAACATGTAAAAAGCTCTAAATATGTAATTATTATTATAACAATTTAGTCTTAGAATCTCAAAAAGCTTTCCAAGCATTAATTAATGGAAAGAATCAAATCAATGTTGCATTCTTGCTGCACCGTTATTAGGTGATGATTTTTTATTTTCAGTGCCTTAATGGATTTTGCGAATTATCTAATTAGACCTGTAATACGCAATTCAAAAACACTTGATTTCCATACAGAAATACAGTTCTTATCATAAATAATCATGCATGAAAATAAATACTCCAGAGACACAATCCTTTACGTGCTGTATAAATTCCTACAGTTTAACATTCTTTTTATTCTTGGAATTGTGTGAAGAATGCAGTGTCTTCTAAATAATTTTTTTTAGAATTATTTTGTTTCACAGAATGTGTAGTTTTCATGGTGTCATTATTCCTTAATAGTTCTTTTTATGCTTTGTTTTTCAGGTTGGCTTCATGAGCTAGGAAAACGTATTGAGTCTCCTTATTATGAGAATAATACACTAGGAGGCCCGTCAATCAGAAGTGCCTATATAGCTGCCCTATATTTCACCCTCAGCAGCCTCACCAGTGTTGGGTTTGGAAATGTTTCAGCCAATACCGATGCTGAAAAGATCTTCTCCATTTGCACAATGCTGATTGGGGGTAGGTACAAATGCTAAGCATCATGTAAAACGTTTTGAGGGGGTAGGGACAAGTAAAATAAGAGCTGACATTTTGCTAAGTTTCTTTTAAAAAAAAAGCACAACAGAAAGTTTAATTTAAAACGGCAAAAGAAGGAAATAACTTGGTTGGTTTTACACTAGATAAACTCTCTTAAGCAGACATATTTCTTACCTTTTGACCGCTTATGGTGACAAAAGACAGTCGTCACCCAGTAAAATGTAAACTCACGTTATTGTCAGTGAGTGTGGCCCAGCCATGTGCCAGGTGAGCATTTTGGTTATGTGCCAGGCACTTTTCCAGTCAGCCAAGTAATAGGTGCACGTTCAGCTCCAGTTCAGTCCCCACAGCATCCCCGGGGATGGTAGCGAGGGGAGGTGGGCAGCCCACTGGTGTATCTGGCTGTGAGCTGGTGTGTATCTGCATCTGAAGGACCAGCCCAGAGAGAAGGCAACAGAGACAGGACAGAGCCAGGAGGACTGTTTGGTGAGCCGTAGGTGACTCTACCAAAAACAAAAAGCAGCTTAGCTATCACTAAGTAAATTTTACCACATCACTGCTTCAGATTAGAATCAAAATGCAAAGTTTTTGTCATATTTGGAGCTCTTAGCAGTATTTTCCTTTATGTTAATTACCTAGTCGTACTGTTGGGGTAATAAATAAATGAGCATGTGCTCATTTATGGTCACCTTCTTTCTGCTGAGGCACCTGGCACAACCAATGAGCTGGTGGCACCTGCAGAGCTTGGTAAGCCAAGGCCACCGGAGAAAGTACGGCAGCTCTCTCTTTACCTTCATCTTTCTCCCCCAAAAAATTAGCTGTGCTATTTCATAGTGTGTACATCATATAACTCAGAGATGTCACAGTGGGTGTGAAGGGTAAAAGCAAATCACTGCTAGAGTACTGCCCCCCTCATTTTTTTTTCTGCTTGCCTAATTGTTCTGGAGATACTAGTAGGTATTCCTCCAGGGCCAGCCAGTAAGGCACTGGTTGTCAGCTTTGCAGCATAAATTTTCCTGGGCAAAAATAAATTGGCAACTTGACACTTGAAAGCCAGGGAACACGATGAATGACCTGGAAACTACATATTTGCAGCATCAAGTGGTGTAAAAAGTGCTCAATGAATTATTGTCATTTTTCCCAGTCCTGAAAATGAGTGGCAATAATATAATGAATCATCCAAGAACAATATAATTTTGATTTTGACAATGTCACAAAACCAGAAGTAGCTCATTAATTGCTTTTGCTGGTAGCATAAAATTATAGTTTTAAAATACAATGTGGTCTCTGTGCTTTGGAGCTTTCACTACATAAAATCTGTTGGAATGAAGGAAGGAGTTTTCATTTCTATCAAGAAATCAAGAGATATCCTGTGTAAGGCGATGATGAATATTTAATTCACTTTGACATGGCAGAGTTTTCACAAACTTAATAGAGTAGAATATAAAAATACTTTTATTTAGTCCAGTTATAGCAATTTCTTTTTCATGTCTTATATTATAGAGTGGTAGAACTAATAATATGCTTGTGCACTGAATAACTTGTGAAGAACTAGTTGACTGAATGTAGTAAGAGGGAACTGAAAACTGAAAAGCAAAGTTACTCATAGGCAAGCAGGTAGAAGAATGACTTTACATCCGGGAGGGTCCAGTGAACAAGATATATCCAGGTAAGAAAGCTGAACAGGCTGGTTTGCAGGGATTTTCTTGAGGAATTGTATTTTAGACGTTATTTAAGAAAATCAGCAGAGCAAGGAAACTTGAAGAAGGAGTTAGCATCATGCAGCCGCAGACTGGTGAGCACGCCTCAGAAAACTCTATTAGGAATAAAGTACTAGTCTGTATACTTTAGGGCACAATACGTTTTCATTTCTTAAAACACGTTTTGATGTATAGTTTTGGCTGATATTTAATTTTAAAATTCCCTAGTGGAAAGTGATGTCTTGAGAAAAATTGATTTAAGTTTTTTACAGTTTTTAGACCAAGTCATTAGTTTATGAAATTTCAGGTGTAATGTATAGCATGATTTAGTTTATCAGTAGTTCGTCTGTACCTCTTTAATGTGTGTCACGGCAAATTGAAAGAATGAAGTGAATTTATTGCAACCTTAAAGAAAGTTAAAGCCAGAAAAAAAAAAAATACCAAGTGTTAATTTAACAGATAAATAACTTATAATATTCTTGTTTGATTTTTACCTGCCTATTAGTATTAATTTTTGTTTTGCATGATTTTGAAACTACAATTTAAGATAAGTAATATTGTGAAGATAAAACATCTTATTCTATACAGTATTTCTTCTTAAAGTTGGAAAGAAAAGTTACTTATTAAAATTTAACCAGAATTCCTAGGATACCCAGCATCTGTAAAATATTAATCAGATCTGTCCTCCTGCAGATGACCATACCTTGTGCTGTCTTGTATTCTCCATGTTCTTTGAGCAAAGAATGTGCAGTTTTGTATTTATGAGACTGGAGGCCCATTCTAGTAGCTCCAGTCCTTTCTGGGATCAGAGGTGTTCCTCTTTTCCCTAAGCAACAAAAATGTAATTTAGAATATCCATAAAAATCAAGGCCACTTTATAAAATATGGTTCCTAGAAGTTTTTCACTTGTCCTACTTGCTTTTAGAGAATGGATTAATAGATTTCTTACAGAAAGTAGGCTGGGTCTGTGATTATTTGATAAAGAAATCTAATGCCTGTCACAGCTTGTCATCATCAGTAGCAGTTGTCTTCCAATGTACATAGGCAAAGACAGATTCTCCCGTAATAATAAAATTCTTGATATTTGTGCCTATAATAACATCACAGAGATCTCTACACTGTCCAGCTCTTAACCTTGGAGCCTGTTGGGAGACTTATATCACATGTGATTTTTACATATGCATTCATACACCACCTAATGCTTTATCCTTCCCCCCTTTTTAAACTGATTATCACATCCTTAAAGAGGCTACACATCTCTTTAGCATGTTCAGCTATGTCTGGCTGAATTGCTTCAGCCCTCGGTGCCATATTTCTATTATAATATCCTGTATCTAGCATTACACCAGTCCCTCACATTTTGTTGCCCAAGTTTCTGACATTAGTGACTTAGCAATTCACTGCCCCATCAGGAACGACACGTAGTTGATCCAGCTGCGTATTCTTAGAAATAAATTTCCAATTATGCTTACTTTCTTTCTAATATTCATATCTGATCCTTTTCTTTTTGCGCTGCTTTTCATTTATCTTCTTTTACTAATGGACTTATATTGATTTAATCATATTATTGGATCACGTCTACAAGAATGCATACTGTATTTTGAAACTACATCACACTGCAGTGCTTTATCTGTTTTTCTGCACTCCCTTCACAATAAAGGCATAGATATTGTTACAAGCTCCTTTGTGTTTTACTCAGCCTGCAAAAATTTTCAACACTACAAACTAAAGAATTTTCTGCCTTCTTCTACCATGTAAAAGCAGTATTAACCACCAATATGCATGCTTTCCTCCTCCTGTTCCCCCTTGTCTCTCCTCACTCACACTGGACTTCTGTAAATTGCCACACAACGTCAACATCTTGTTTGTCTTGTTTATAACCCAATTCCTTTGCCAGTCTGAGGAGTCTGCTTTCTTTCAAGCACTATAGATAGATGTCCCTTAAGAGTAATAATCAAGCTCTTTAATAGTTTTTTCAACAAACAATTTGTAAATGTGTACATAATATACCTCAGTTCAATACCACATGACAGACAATCTAGCAGTGATTTTTCCCACTGATAATCAGCAAGCACATTTCTGCACAGACAAACCCAGACGACCTGTAGCTGTAAGCATTTCTTCAATTTTGCTTCTGGTCTTTTTATTCCCAAGCCAGTCTCTAATTGCAGACAAACTCCAGGATGTCAGAACTTTCTGATAAACAATTTCACACCATATTTGACCTTCTCAAGCAACATAAGAAATCAGACTGTCAGTTTGAATGTATCTTTTTTTTTTAACCTGAATTTCTGCTTTACAATGGGTATTTTCTGTCTTTTTTTTTAACATCTTATTCCCCAGAATATGATACATCTCTAAATGTTGTTTGCAATCTCATTCCACTACACATGGTCCCCATTAGCAATTGTTTTTATTTATATGAGGACTCTGAAATCTATTACAGTCTATGTAGTTGCTAACTGATCGTTTGATTCTAGTTTTCATGCTGATTGATTAATAGTTTCTCATTATTTCCTGAACGTGCCTGCCTACATGTCTTTATCTGTTTCCTTTTTTCTTAGACTATAAACTTAATTTGGCTTGGGCATTCTTTTGCTTAGTACCCTGACCAGATAGCATCAGATGTGGTTCTACCCTGTCCCATGACTGTGACTGCTAGTGACACAAAAAATGGAAATGAGTAATCATATGAATACTACTGTGTATTACTCATGAAGTCTTGTATTCAAAAGCTTTACTATATCTATTACGGAGGAAACTGGTTTTCTGTGAAGATCCTGTTTATTTTCTGTGTTACATTTTAATGATCGACAAGTCACTCCACATCGCACGATATTTCTGTCCTCCCTAGCTCTGATGCATGCCTTGGTGTTTGGCAATGTGACTGCCATAATTCAGAGGATGTACTCCAGATGGTCCCTTTATCACACCAGAACCAAGGATCTGAAGGACTTTATACGGGTCCATCACCTGCCACAGCAGCTAAAGCAAAGGATGCTTGAATATTTCCAAACCACATGGTCTGTCAATAATGGAATTGATTCCAATGAGGTAACCAAACGAGGGAGGTTGTGTGTTTGATGGTTTTGACTATGGACTTAGAGGCAGGGAGGGGGGGTAATCTTCCATTTGAGATGCTGTGTTTTGTGTGAAGTTATGTATAAAAAAGAACATGCCTAAAAATAAAGCAGGGTTATCCCAGGAAAAGGGTATTTTATTGAAAAAATCTGGTTTAGAACATCATATCATATATTAAAAATTCAAAGTCCTCCATAATTCTGAAATGCTGAAGAGGCATTCATCAGAAACCTTTTGGATGATGCCAGCAGAAACACCTCAGTGAGCAGTTTTGCCTTTCACCAAACAAAAGATCTACTGGGTTTTTTAGGTGTTTTTTAAAGGAGGGATTTCTTTACTGCCCTTTCCTCCCTACTTCATTTTCTTTTATTCTTTGCAATACTGTAAACAAGTGGTTTGGCCTGAATTTTTATATTATTCATTTCCCTGTACTTTTAAATACTGCAGAATGCAACATGAGAGTGAAATCAAAAGACAGATTTCTGGTCATGTCTTTGCTTGTTTGTTTTAAATGACTTATCCAGGTTATGTATTGCTATACTCCAGGAGGAATAATGGCCTCTCTCTGCTGGAGTATTATTTGAATGAACCATTCCCTTCAGAGTTCTTGTTATATATGTCATTACAAAACTCAGTAGCCTCTAAAGATAATGTGGAAATAAGCAGAAAGATTTGGGTTTGAGAACATTCTTTTTCTGATAAACTCTTTTTGTGGTGTGCACAGCACAAAGAATGGGATTTTCAACAGCATCCTAGCAACAGAAGGAGCCTAGTAAAATTTACAAAGGTACAAAAACCACTTAGATGTCAAAGCTTTCCTAGATTTGGTTAAGGATCACCTTCAGCTTCCATATCTTTAGTCAGACTGAAAGTGAGTGACTGCTGTATTACAACAGCAGCCTCTGGAGAGACCATCAATATTTCATGATTTGCCTCCCATCCACAAACTGCCTTGTCTAAGCCCACTTGGTCAAGTGTTGGCTGATTGCATTGCTCAGATGCCAGATCCCCTCAAACTACACAGAAAACTATGCTTGTGGGCTTGCAGCTTGCGTGGTCCAGAGCTCTGCCCGTAGGCGGGCAGTATACTTTGCATCAATGGGACAGACACTTGAAGCCACTTAAACTTTTTTTTAAAAGCTCCACCTGAAATTTTTGATGATTTGAGCGGTTATATGCCATTCTCAGAAGACTGTCTCTGAGCAGAAGATGTTTCTCTCAATTTTGCCATCCTGCAGCAGATCTTCTGTAAAACATATACAGATATCATTAAGTGTTGCCCAGGCTACACTTGGGAATTTGCCTAAAATTAAGACCAAGGAAAAATAGGAAGACCTTATGGTCTTTTAGTTTCCATATGTTCTTCCACTGAACATGCACGTTGTCTCTATTCCTTTCCCAACTCTCCTTCAGTGTTCAATTGCGTGTTAAAAAAAAAAAAAAGAACAAAAAAACACACAAAAAAACCCCTTAGAGGTTTACTACATAGAGGTTTTTTGAGTTATCCCTCTTGCAGTGGTTTTACCATAGAAGAAGCAATATAGCCTATTGATGAATTTTATACAATCATTTTAAAGAAAATCTAAAGTTCATTTTTGCTCTGTTTTCAGCATATATGCCACTGTATACAGTGGTATATACCTGAACGGCCTGCTGTGTTCTAACAGCTGAGAAGAACTTGGACAAGGTTAAATTGTGCATTCAGGGAATTCCTACACTCAGCGTTGTTGACTTTTTTTCTTGTTTTTCTATAAAGGCATATTTTTATTCATGTTTTTCCTGGAATTTATCAGTGTTTATCAGCTAAACGATTTATTAAGACATAGGACACATGTCTTATGAAGGGGATAAGAAAAATCAAAGGGAAATCTTTGCATCAGTATGACATATGCAGCACTACTAAATCAAATCACTTCTGCAAAAGAGGAAACAAATTATTTTACACTTTTTTTTCTTTTTCCCCCCTTTTTCTCTTTTTCGGACAGCTTTTAAAAGACTTCCCGGATGAGCTGCGTTCAGACATCACCATGCACTTGAACAAGGAGATTTTGCAGCTCTCCCTTTTTGAGTGTGCCAGCCGTGGTTGCCTCAGGTCTCTGTCTCTGCATATCAAAACCTCCTTCTGTGCTCCTGGGGAATACCTCCTCCGGCAGGGAGATGCCCTGCAAGCGATCTACTTTGTGTGCTCAGGTTCCATGGAAGTCCTGAAGGACAGCACGGTGCTGGCAATTCTCGGTATGCTCATAATCATAGCTTCAAAGAGAAAGAATGGTCCTCCAATGTAGAAGGACCTTCACTACTAACTGATGGTTTAGTGTGTCCTAGTAGTCTGATGAGAAAGAATTCATTTTATTTTAATCTGCTATTCATATCTATGAACATCCCTAATTTTTTTAGTTTAAACTTACTTATTTTTTACCCTAAGGAGCTTTCAATTGCTAGAGTGTTAGCTGTGCGATATTTCACTTGTATCCTGATTTTCTTATACTTATTCTCTCTCCTTTGCATATAAGGAGGTACTTGCTAGGTTTTGATAAAATTTGCTGCTTTCAACTAAATTTGGTGTTAGTATTGACACCTCAAAGGACATTGGTTATTAGTTCCTAAATCTTACATGAAAATTAGTGGCCAGGCAGTGCTCCCACTAATGCTCCCAAATGAAAGAAAGCAATGTGAGCCTACTCTCATTCTTTGATGAATTCATATGAACACCTCTTGCAGGACAGCTGAAAGCATTGTTGACTCTGCTCCCCAGAGTTACTTCTTCAAGCTAATCGATGCTGCCAGCAGTCATCTGAGTATATTAGAACAGAGGAAGGCCAGAGGTTCTGTTCTAATAAACTTTGCCTAGTTGTTGTTTGCTAGATGACTGCTTTGACTTATCTAGGGTTAAGCATCTCTGTGTGTAAATTTCAGTGATTGGCCTCAATCTAATGCCTACTAAAGAGATTCCCTTTATCTTCAGCTAAAGGATGATTAGACTTGTCTGAGTTAATGTTTATAAAATGTTTTGATAAAGTGAAATATAAAATTTTAGTCTAAATGTAAAGAATTATTTTATTATTATTTTAATACCTCTCTAGATTTAAACGTATTCTTCTTTCTAATAACTTTTAATATTCTTATAAAGCAGAGTTAAAAAGAACATTTCCTTTTTTGCTTTCCTTCCTGCTTTGTGGGATTGCACTAGACTGTTGATAATGCAAGCTTCTGGTCCTCTGTAATTGAATTTCCTTTATTTTACTAGCATGCATTTGATCGGTCTTTTTTTAGAATACAAATGTGATACATGTCCTATTTGTTTCATAACTCTTTAATTCCATTAGATTGACAGTCCACATCACTCCATCACTCATTCGTAATTAGAAAGTTTTAGAATGCCTCCATTTTATTGGAAATATGGCTTAGAAAAAACATAAGCTTAAATATAGCAAAAGTTCAAGAGCTGCCCCCATTGGAACTATGATTTCATTAATAATTCAATTTTCAGGCACTTCTGAAAATGTTAATGAAAGCATCACTGTTTAATGGTGACAATGAAAACAGTAAGAAAGAGATTAGTGGATTTCTGAGAGAAGTTAATGAAATCGTAATGCAAAAACATAAACATAATACAATGAAATAATATTTCATTACAGTGAATGGGAGCTTCATCATTTAAACCTAATTAACACCAGCAGAAGGTGAATGCATCAAACGTGTAGGTCCCTATGAGAAACTGTATTACTGATGTGATGTCAATCCAAGAGAGCAGTTTTTACCCTGCCGATGCTGGGTTACTTACAGTTCCCAGACCACTATTGTATAATTCTGTCATGATTCTAATTCTAGTGGATTAGTTTTTGTTTACTGAACCGTTCTCACTAACAAGCAATACAGCAACAATACAATGAAATGCTCTGATTAAATACTGTTTGGTTCCTCTTCAGACTATATTAGACTGATATCTAATAATGACGGTTAGGATATTTTTTATAGGAAAATATTTGTTAATATAACAGTTGTGTACTGTTTGAGCATACATCTTAGATTTGTTAAAAAATACTAGCTATAAGTGATTTAGAAGATATCCATAAAGAGAAGAAAGTTATAACTTTGGCTGCATGTCCCAGATATATTAACAAACAGATGTGTCTGCATAAACATTTATAAATAAGTTTGTTCTCCAATGAAAAAGAAAGAAAGAGATAATAAGAATAACTTACATGATTCTGTTTATATAACAAATGTTGATATTCAAGGCACAGTCATTTCACTGCTGCAGTAATTCTACACGAAACTTCAGCTTACTACCTACACCCTTTGCTACATGATTTTCATTTGAAAAGAAACATGCATTAGCGTTACCAGATCAATTGTAGTGTCTTTCAGGCTGACATTATTTCATCAAACACTGTAAATACAACTCTAACATTTTTTCCAACTTATTGATGCATTATTGATACTGATACTGTTTGTATGCCTAAAAAGTTTCTCATTAACGTATTTAAAGATCAGTTTTAGTATATTTGAAATATATTTTCCCTTGTCCATATTTACACAGCCAGCAATATATTAACATTGCCAGCCCTCTGCTTAATATGATCAAAGAGATCTAAATAATTGTTGATATTTACAGTAAAAAGTAAAAGTGAATTATTGCTTAGCTTTACACTGTATTTGATTATGTAAGCATTACATCATGTGATAAGCAATGACAAATTTTATAGTCATCTATCAGATTTACCTTTCCCAGATTGACCTAAGCTAGTACTAGTTCTCATTTATACTAATTGCAATTTTTAAAAGACCCCAAAGTAGCATTAATGTACGTATATTCCTAGCATAAAAGAAAATCCCTCCCTATGCTGGGTTTATGATAAGCACTTTTGAGAAAATTGTACAAGCTCCATGTAAAGAGCAAAAATTACCAGTAGTATTTTAAAGTATAAAATTATCTTATTTAAGCAGCTTCCAGGGATGGTTGGCTGCTTAGTTTAACTTACTCTTCAAGTACACTATTTCCTGCATAATATCCAGTTGGAATCACATGCTGGGTGGATTTTCAGATTTTACAGTCTTCGCTTATTAATCACAGAATAATGTAAGATTGGAAGGGACCTCTGGAAGCCACCCAACCTAAACCTGCTAAAAGCAGGGCCAGATTAGCTCAGCTTGCTCAGGGTGATGTCCAGGCAAGTTTTGAACATCTCCAAGAATGGTGATTCCACAGCCCCTCTGGGCAGCCTGCCCCATTGTTTGACCAGCTTCATGGTGACTTTCATTTCCTGATTTCTAATCACAAATTCTTTTGTTACAACTTGTGCCCAGTACATCTTGTCGCACTGTGCACCCTGAAGACGAGTTTAGCTCTGTCTTCTCTACACTTTTCCATTAGGCTGTTGAAGACAGCGATAATGCCTTTTCTTCTTAAGGCAGAACAATACCCATTTTTTTCAGCTTCTCCTTGTACATTATGTTCTCCAGTCCCTGATCATCTTGGCGGCCTCTTCTGAACTCACTCTAGTATGTCAATATTCTGTCTTGTACTGGGAAGCCCAAAACTGGACACATACTCCAGATGTGGTCTGAGAAGTGACATATAGAGGGGAAGAATTACTTCCCAGGACCTGCTGTCTGCACTCTTGCTAATGGTGCCCAAGATGTTCTTGGCCTTCTTTGCTGCAAGGGCACATTGTTGGTTCATGTTCAACTTGTTGTCCTCAAGGATCCCCGGGTCCTTTCCTGCAGAGCTGCTTTCCAGCAGGTCGGTCCCCAGCCCATACTGCTGTAGGGAGGTTTTCCATCCCGGGTGCAGGACTTGGCATTTGTTTTTGTTGAACTTCATGAGGTTCCTCTCAGCTCTTTTCTCATTCATTGAGGTTCCCCTGAATAGCAGCTTTGCCCTTCAGCATATCAACCACCCCGCCCCCCAATTTGGTATTGCCCATAAACTTGCCAGGAATGCACTCCATCACACTGTCCAAGTCTTTAACAAAGACAATCTGCACTAACTTTTGAGGAAGACCTCTGGTTCAATGATTGCTCTTTGGACTTTATACCTCAGATCAGATGTTTATGGAAGCTTTTCATGATAAAATATTTGTGCTCTTCAATATATGGTCAGTATGGTTTTTAATACATCCATTATTCTAAGGCAGTCTTGCCCATAAATGAGAATATAATGGCTTAAGAATTCATTCTTTTTTCTTGGCAGAAGTGCCATTGAGTTACACATCTATTAATAGCCTATACAACTAAGATACATCATGAAGTGTAGCTATGCAGCCATAGCTATCACAGATTGCGAATGTTTTGCAATCCAAATTCTAAGTAAAAGGGACACTGACAATCTATACTTAATCGTGTCATTGTTAAAATGTTATCTTAACACCTGTCTGTTCTAGCAAAAAAAAAACAAGCTAGAAACTTAATGTTCACTTTTTGAAATACAAAATTGCACCTGCTATTAATTACCAGTATAAATCCTAACTTTATATATATTTACTTGATTGTTCCCTTAAATCAAGTAGTTACATGTCTGGAAATTAGTCTTTGTACCTCCAATTAATTGCATATAAGACTGCACCTGCGAAAAAAAAGACAGCTTTTAGACAAAGATCCTTTAGAATGGCATTAAATAAACAATGCGGTAGTAACAATGGGATTTAAGATTTAGCAATTATGTTAAACAGATTCATGATTCAAAAAAGTAGTCAAGAATTCATGCTTTGAAGATTATTAATTTCATATTTTCTTTTAGGTAAAGGAGATTTAATTGGAGCAAACCTATCCATTAGGGATCAAGTTATTAAAACAAACGCAGATGTTAAAGCTCTAACGTACTGTGACCTCCAATGCATTATCCTCAAAGGTCTCTTTGAAGTGCTCGATCTTTACCCAGAGTATGCTCACAAGTTTGTTGAAGACATTCAGCATGATCTCACATACAATCTAAGAGAAGGCCATGAAAGTGATGTAAGTATCTTTAAAGGTCTCTGCAGCTATTGTTACCTTTAAGATGTTTCTCATACTTCAGCCAGTTCTCATAATTTTGTCACAGTAAAGAAATAACACACAGATTACATTAAAAGGACCACTCATTTCATTTGTTTGATAATTCAATCATTACCTACATTAATTGTTTATCAATTGATCAGATCATAAACAGCGAACATGTTCTCTGCTTCTCATTTGTCCATAGAAAACATCATCTATGAGAGAACATTCTTTAATATTTGGTCATTTTTTACTTATGTTTAAAAATAATTCATATTTATGTAAAGCATGTGTCCAAATAAAGGTATTTAACTATACCTTTTCTAGAAGCTCATGTGCCAGCCTAACGAACATTCATTTCATAGATCACTGATTATGACTTCTTGGTTAAGAATGTCGTCACACACATTCAAAATGAGAAACAACTAAACTGTGTTTTTCCATTTAGATGAGCAATTTAATGTGAAATAATAACAACAAATTCCATGTAAAGCACCGCTGAAAGACTTCACTATAGACTTACCAAAGTACTTTCACTGATATTATGTAGCAAATATTTATATTCAGATTTTAATAGTGAAAAGATTTTATGACAGCTCTCTTTTTCTGACTTAACCATGTGAGCGTACGAACATACAGTTTGGTATTTAACAGTTCAGGTATTTGTCTTTGTATTGTGCTTCTCCTTACACACAGAGAGAAGTAAAACATTGAAAGCACATGACTGGGGACAAGGGTACTATCAAGACAGGGGACGAATGTAATGCCAAGGAAGTGTAAAGGGCAAAAAAGGTTATCTATACTACTAGATGTCCTTTGGCACAAGTGTTTCCACAGCAACGGTCTTCAAACAATTGCAGTAGAAAGGTGTAAACGTATGTCGTGGTTTAACCCCAGCCAGCAACTAAGCCCCACACAGCCGCTCGCTCACTCCCCCCCAGTGGGATGGGGGAGAGAAGCAGAAGAGTAAAAGTGAGAAAACTCGTGGGTTGAGATAAAGACAGTTTAATAGGGAAAGCAAAAGCCGCGCTCGCAAGCAAAGCAAAACAAGGAATTTATTCACTACTTTGTATCGGCAGGGAGGCGTTCAGCCATCTCCAGGAAAGCAGGGCTCCGTCACGCGTAACCGTTATTTGGGAAGACAAACGCCATCACTCTGAATGTCCCCCTTTCTTCTTCTTCCCCCAGCTTTATATGTTGAGCATGACATCATATGGTATGGAATACCCCATTGGTCAGTTGGGTCAGCTCTCCTGACTATGCTCCCTCCCAGCTTCTTGTGCACCCGGCAGAGCATGGGAAGCTGAAAAGTCCTTGACTAGTGTAAGCACTACTTAGCAACAACTAAAACATCAGTGTGTTATCAACATTCTTCTCATACTAAATCCAAAACATAGCACTAGACCAGCTACTGGGAAGAAAATTAACTCTATCCCAGCCGAAACCAGGACAACATATAAACGCAAACTTGTAGAGAGGAAAATAATCAGGGCATCTCATTTGTTTGTCTCTGGAAATGTCCCCAACCTTCCTGCTGCTCAAGACAGCAGCTGAGAGAGTACACATCTGTTCTGACAGCTTGAAGATTAGTTTGTATAACCAATACATTTTCCTTGGGGAGGAATGCTTAATCTGTAAAGGAGTATAACTCCATGTAAAGATAGGGTTTGAAACTGATTGCATTCTCCTCTCCAGTTTTGTCATGGACCTTGATGAACCCCCACAATGTATTCCTTCATGATTTTCTGTATGCTGACAAATCTGGGGATCACCATATCAGTTGCATGCACATTCAGCTTTTATAAAATCAGGGACAACTCTTCCCAGTTAGAGTCGGCTGGGTGTTGTACAGACTCTCCGCTGAGAGCAAGCCTACACCAGTCTTGAAGGTGACTGCGCAGACAGGAAAAGAACCTCCTCACTCACTGTGGAAGATGGGATTTAAAGCAGTGCAGGACATATCAAAGGACCTTTTCTGCTTTAAAAAGGAAAATATTTGCACAATTTGTGAATATACACTGTATTTTCATGGTATAAACCATTATCTTAAAACTAAAGGGGCGGGGGGGAAAAAGACCCTGACACCGAATACCATCCAGTGTCACAAGCACATATAGAGAACCCAAGACAGCTTATCATTGTGTCACTTTCTCCTACATCCTCAGGTTAACTATGCCCTCCCACTAATATTTCTCTTGCAGCAGAACTAACCTCGGTCATGTGCATCTCATTTCTGATCCAACCATTTTACTTATCAATAAGGATAAAGAGTAGGAATAAGGTGGCCAAAAATTGTACCACCACAAAAACAGGGCTCACCAAATGAGGGAAGATACCGATGGCAGTAGCAAGTGTGCCTGGTCAACCACTCGCTTGCTCTGCTTCACCTAGAAAATACCATGTCTTCATGAACATGCACACAGAAATTAGTTATCTGAGGGTTTACTCTCACAGAATAGTAAGAAGAAGGTTTTCGGAAGTACAATTTGTGGGTATGAAAATATGACCTTTTTTTTTTTAATATAGCATTATTTCTTGGGAATGGTGCTATGGGAGAGTTTGGCAGCTGTGAGACTGTATCTTGCACTCTCTCTCCCTAAGGGAGATTTTACTTTTGCATGTGTCTATGACTTCTGCAGCTTTATGGAAGTTTTGGGTTTGGAGAGCTTTTCCATAGTTAAATGGTAGATTGATTCATTTGAATAAGTCAGTTTCTCACTCTTTTTTTCCTTGGATGTTTTAAATGACTGCAAATTTGCAACTGAATGTGAATTTAATGCTTTTGAAAATGGATCAGTAACAGTATTTAGGATCAGGTGAACTGCAGATTGAAATAGCATGAATTTCCCCACTATGACTTGCCAAGTGCCTTTCAGTCCTGACCTAAAACATGATTGCATTTTCAGCCACAGTCCACCAAAAGTGCCTTAGGTTGTAGATTTCCTAACACTTTAAGCCAGCATTAAAAAGATGAGGCTGCAGAAAGGTGTAGTCCTGATGATCCATTATCTCCTTCCTTGTGCTGTTTGAACTGTTCATTGCACACAAAATTGAATAAGAGATTTGAACTGAATTAAAAGTGGACCAAAAAGGGCCAGAAGTCATCGGGAGTTTCCTGATCCTGGAGTGTCAAAGTTGGATGCTTAGCACTAGATCATGTAGCTACCCTACCCACACAGAAATCTCTAGGAAAATATTTTTTATTTGTTTTCTTGGTTCATTTGCAAGTCTAAGAGTGTATATAATGATCTGCTCCATCTGCATTAAAATCCAAGCAAGGTGTAATGGTGGAAAAGCTCCAGGACTTCCATAGCCATGTCAATTTTCAGTAAAACAAGGAGCAGCTGTAACCAGATTTCCCAGTAACAAGCAGAAACTGTAGCTGTCTGGTTATAGAAAGATTGAAAGTATTGTTTAAGCAATCTTGGAAGAAAAGCTCAGGAGATTTTAACTACAGGAGCTGGCAATCGTGTAACTATTTCAGCCTCTAATGAGTAACAGATAGAGAAAGACACAAAAACAGGGAGATAAAGTTTCAGTGGTTCCTCATGATAGCTCTAAAACCAGCAATCATTAAGTGATTTATGATTACAGCCATTAATCTGTGTGCAATCACACTGGCAGTGCTGTTATGCCATCTTTTTATATATTCTTATCACAGCAAGATGCAAATTACAAAAAAGTTGATTATATGTATTCTGTCCTTTAATTTCTTTGCTGAATTTTGCTCGAGAAACTCGTAACTGTTTTTGAAAATGATTTCAGGACAGTTAGGAAAGGCTAATCTGTTTGGTAGCTGGAGTTGCGACATGAAAACAATTAAGCCATTCAGGTGTTTCAACCAATTTTTCTAGGTCTGTGACTATGATGTCATAGTCATGAAATAGTTTGCTAAGTGACACAGACTTTGACACCCCCCTCGCCCCACCCATATAATTTTGCATTATATATATTACAGATTGCATATATAGCAGGCAGTGAGAGTCAGATATCCGATTTGATAAAGATAAGTACTCATAAGAAGGTTCTTACAACATCTAATACAATTGTACGAAAGAAACTGGAAACAATTTTGCTATCCACCACCAGCCCTGGAAAACATGTGCTATTTTATATATTGAAAGCAGTAGCAGATGTTCATAACTCCGAATAATCCTATGAGAAACTCAGAATAGGTAAACATTTGCGCAATATCTTTGTGGGCTTGGTAACAGTTTATTGTTTCTGATTATTTCTTGTGTCTATGCAGAAGTATCTACAGTGTAGACATCATTATCCATCAAAAAAAACCCCAAAGGCTGGTTATAGCCAGACTGATACAAAGAACAAGAGGCCTCCTTGACACCTATGCCATCCCTCAAGCTGTAATGAAGTCCCAAAGGAAGATAAGACCAATGCAGGCACAATCTTTGACACACTGAAACGCTATCAATATGTGTCATCTTCAAAAAGAAAAGATGACATTCCTGAAAATTCAAAAATCTGTCTTTGCAGACAGGAGTCGTAATTAATAAGAAGCTACTTTTGTTTTGTAGCCTTAAAAGTAGTGTTCTGCCTCTTACAAGAGCTTCCCTTCCCCCTCCCCGCAAAAGGAAGAGAAGCTACTCTCTTTAAAATGAAAATACTCAGTCTCTGAAGCAGGGGGACGGACTGCTTCCTTCAGTGCATCCGCAGTGTAAAGGAAACATAATGACAAAGATTGCACGAGAAAAGTAGTAGATTCTTCCTCCAGTTGGGAACATTGAGCCTTACTGCAGCTTAGCCAGGCTTCTTGATAATTAAATAAATAAATAGACAAATAAATTTTAAAAGGCAACCAAGAAGCAATAAAAACAAAGCATTTTTTTCTCCCCAGAAAGGCATTGTCTGACAAAACAGGGCTTAATTCTTGTCCTTTGGAGAGGCTGGTGTTTAGAATTTATTAAATTTTAATGATTGAGTTGTGGGGGTTTTTAATATAATAAAGCTCAGGTTGCTAT